GCTTCTGGCCTCGGCTCACACCAAAATCCACCTGCGTGGGGGCAGCACAAACGCCACGGATCGATGCTAAACCGCCCAGGACTCGCCCCGAGCCGTCTCTGAGGCGCGGGGAGCACAGGAGAGGCGCCTGCTGGGGCACGACCCGCCCCGCTCCCACCACCCTCGTCGCTCTTAGCCAACATCTGAGCTCTTGCTCCTTTGGGTGAGAAATGCTTTAACACCCATCCTGCCTGGGGCGCCCTGCCAGCAGAGACAGCCACCCAGGGCGAGGCAGCGAACCGACACGTCAGGTTATAGCCTGTCCCAGAACTCTCCCAGCAGCTGGGATGCCATCCTGGAAGACCAGCGCGGGTGGACACGGCCACCACAGGGGATCCCGCTCCTCCTGCCAAGGACCAGGGCCGGCAGCAGGACCCGGCCCTGCTCGCAGCCGCTCCACCAAGCCATCCCGTCCCGTTCCATCCCCTCAGCGCTGTGCCCATGCCAGCCTTCCCCCCTCCCCGGGCACAGAGGCACGCAGAGGTTGCGGTGGGAAGCTCTGTGGCCAGCTCACCTCGCTGAAAACAGGGAGGACCTTGCCGTGGTCCCGGGGAGAGCAGAGGTTGGACACATCCATGTCCAAGGCAGAGCTGCCCCTTGCCACGCTGACGCCGTGGGGAAGGACAGACCATAAGTTGGTCCATCTCAGGGCCATCAGCATTTTTTGCCGGGGGCAGGAGCCATCCCAAACCTTCCCCACCGAGGGCAAATCTGGCTCCAGCAAAGCCAAGGTCCCCACGGGCACACAACCAGATTCGGACCAAACGTTCAGGCATTGCTGGGAGAAATGCCCTGACTGCCTGGTGCATCACGTTTCAAGGGAGATCCCTCCTCAGGGCACAATCCCTTTCTACAGCAGCTGTAAGTACTGAATATTTTGGACATCTCCAGCCCCCTGTCAAATCTGGTTCAAGCTGAACAAGAAGGCTTAAGTTATTTTGAGGGGAAAAAAGAGAAAGGGCGTGGGGGGGGGAAGTTCACATGAGTACAAACTGTGCTGTTGCTTAAGGCCCATGTCTCTAGGCAGCCAAGCAAGTTTGCTTCCCTGTCCTCTCTGCGCTACGTGCATCACCAGGACGGGGTCAGGCTTGGCTTCTGCTTGCCTGCTCCTCCACCACATCCCTGCAAAGGAGCCAGCGAGGAAGACGAAGCCTGGGCGCTGGGGAAGGCTGCAGTGCTCACCCTCTCCTCCTCAGAGCCCAGCTCCTCCAGGGCCAGACCCTCCTAAACTCACGAACAACCTTCACCCCAGCTCACCCAGCGCAGCACCCAGCCTGCTTACACCCAGAAAAGCTTCCCCTCCTCGGAGGGAAGCAGAGCGGCAGCTCCCGAGTCCAGAAACCACCGTGAAAAGGCACTTGGAAGCAAGAGGGGCCAGCGAACGCTGGGTGGGGGGATGTGGAACAGAGCGGGGAGCAGCCTGGCAGGCCCCTGGGCAAGCATTTGCACCGCAGGATCCAGGCTGGCCGCTCCAGCGCCGGCCAACCCCCAGGGCCGGAGCAAACCAGGGTCCTCCGCTTTGCAGGCCAGCACCCCCTGCCCTCCCTTGCCCTGCTGCCGGGCTCTCCCACTGCTCTTTCCTCCCTCCCCAGCTCCTTGAGCAAACAGGCTGGTTTTCAGGTTGGGGATAAGGAGCAGAGAGTCGTGTCCCCCCCCCCAGCTAACACCCTGCCAACAGCGTTGCAAGTCGCTGCCTGCCTTCCTGAGGCCCAGGACATCCCGTTAGCTCGCTCCCATTTAAACTCTCAGTGGGTGGGAAAGGAGCCAAAAGATACCGAGGGCTTTTCTTAGACTGAGTGCTCTCCAGTGACACAGGGGGAGGGCAAAGCTTGCAGCAAGCTGGGGCTGGAAAGGTGGTTCCTGTTCCCCTTTCGCAGGCTGCGTTCGCACTGCGACTTCCTGAGCGGAGGCCGCTGCTCGTGACCCCCACGCACGGGATGAAATGTCAACACCCCACGGGCTGGCCAGCCTTCCCCCTCCCACCCTTTGGGCCCCAAAACCAGCAGGTTAAATATGCCACTGAGTAGCCCATTTCCCCCACAGGCTGTCCAGCCTTCCCCCTCCCACCCTTTGGGCCCCAAAACCAGCAGGTTAAATATGCCACTGAGTAGCCCATTTCCCCCACAGGCTGTCCAGCCTTCCCCCTCCCACCCTTTGGGCCCAAGGCCAGCGGGTTAAACATGCCAAAAAACATTTCCTCAAACTGTGCCCCTGCTTTTTTGGTCTGTTTTCTTCTGAAAAGTACGGTGCAGACACGACACGGGGCTACGACGAGCAGGATGCTCTCTGCTAGCGGGGACGACCAGCTCTACGGGCTGCTGCGCGGCCACAGCTATCATTTGAAGGCTGGTACACAGGAGAACGAGCAACACGGTGATGTTTTTCACTGCTTTTAAAATAGCACTCGTTGCAGTTGGCTCTGTTCGCATCCGCACGCCAAGAGACACCTCGCGGCCTCCGCCGCCGAGGACATGAGACAGGAAACACACCGCGGCCTCGCCGAAAGCACCACCTACCCCTGCTCCCCACGCGGCTGAACCCAGTCCCAGACGCGCAGGGAACCGTCGGTAGCCGCC